ACCCCTGACATAGAACATAAAGCTTCATGTAAATGGATGAGCCACGCTTAGCTCGACTATTTTGTTCTAGGAGTGGGATGATGAGTCCCCATTCCACTTCCAGAACACAGCACTGTACACTGTATGTTGCTGAGGCTACATACAGTTAATACAGCATGCACCAGTTGGTGCAGGGAATAGTTTGGATAGGCCAGCCTGGCACAAACAAACTTTTTAAAAAGTGACATTAAAGCGTACCTACACTGCATCTGAGCACCACAAATCAAAAACACTATTGAATTTTTTTTATTATTCACAGCAAACTCCCCCATCCATCCATGCCTCCTTTCTTTATTTTTCTGAGAAATGCCTTTGAAAAACACCCACCTTACAGTTCTGGCTATGGCCATCTTAAGTAAGGGCAGATGATACATGTAACATTTACTTCCTGGAACCTCTGCTCTTAGCTCAGGCATGCAGACAGGAGGGTGTGCTTAGCTGAGAAAAGCTCTCCTGCCTTCCTGAAGACTCTTGGGATGTATGACATCATCAGCCTAGGCCTGGAAACTAGGAAGTAACTAAAGAAATGTAGAAAAAAAAATGTAAAACAAGCAACTATGGTATGGACTTTGCTGTCCATTTACCAATGTTAGCAGCACAGGGATTAAAAATAGTGGAGTTAGGATTAAAGGGACAAAGCTACAGAGGCAATCTGAATGTCGTTCCGCTTAAACATTAAAAACACTTACAGTCGCCCCATTAGGCTGGAGCTACACAGTAAAGATTTAACAGCTCAACTGAGCTCCTAAAATCCCCAGCAATCATTAGGAGCAGGACTGAAATAACTAATCGGAAAGAGTTGTCGACTATTTTTATAATCGATTAGTCAGCCGATTAGTTGGCCTGCATGCAGAATGCATTATTAGTTTACATATCAGAAAATACAATACAGCACCCATACAGCTCAGTACACCGTTCAAACATGTCAAGCCTGTATATCCTACCTGCAGGTAGATTTTTATTTATTAAAAAGATATTTATTACTTTCACTGTTTCACAGTATAAACTAACCCCTTATAGTAGTGATTATATGTGATTTTTGTACTATTAACCCCATCATGACAGATGATAAAAAAAGCATGCTGCTGCTACTAGATGTCTTATGCTGGCCATACACTTCTGGGTTTTTGGATGAGAACATTTGTACAAAAAGTCTTTGTACATTCAAAGAATGGAAGAACGTCATTCAGAAATTACATTCATTCTAAAATTGAATGTTAAAAGCATGTAAAATTTTTTTAAACAAAAACCCACATCCACTGTCTGAAAATTAGTTTGAGTATCGAGAAGTTCTCTTCTGCTCCTTCTAACTTTCCCACCACTGTGGTCAAAAACAAATGTCAAAGGAAAAAGGTGTTCATGTATGGCCAGCATAAGTAATAGCAGGTAGCTTGTATCAGCTGTCTCTGACAAAGGAGTCGATCATGCAAAATATATTACAATGCTGTTAAAAGACCTAAAACTCTGTTTTGCAGATTTTTAAACATTTTTTTTTCTTTGAATAAAAATTTGTACCTCTAAGTCTGATATGTACCAAATTCAGCCTCTAATAGTATATACAGTCTATTTCTTCTGTTATTCTGAGAGTGGATTAGATATTTTTTTTTTCCCCAACCATATACTTGGTTGTTTATATTTACCACTGCATATAGATTTTTAAGAATAAACGGTCAGGTTTTTTTTTTTTTTAATAGGAAGAAAAAAAAGCAACCAAATGCCTGAGCTCCTGCGCTGGACAATGGACTCCACAATGTCAATATCCCCACATGTGTATGAAAGGAATGTAAGCCTTGCTGTGCTCAACGGACCAGGGAAATCCAAAGAGAACTGTATATGAAAAAACAAAAATAGGATGCAAGGGCCTAGTGCATTACCTTTAAAAATGAGATTTGATAAAAAGTAAAATACAAGAGAAATAAAATCAAATGGAAAGCATGTCACAAGAGATGCCAATTGGCTCTGAGGAAGAAGTACAACCTCGCAACGAGTAAGATATCCAGAGGTCCACAGTCCCCCACCAGAACACCTTCAGGCGTCTTGGACCACACTGCATCTCTTGTGACATGCTTTCCATTTGATTTTATTTCTCGCGAGTTTACTTTTTATCAATAAATATCATTTTTAAAAAGGTAATGCACTAGGCCCGTGCACCTCTTTTTGTCTTTACAAATACGGGTTTTTTGTTTTTTTAAACTTTACATATTACCTAAATTATACACCACACTTTGAGGTTTATATTTGATTAATCCAAACAATAAATTGGCCAAATAATCAATTATTAAAATAGTAGTTAGTTGCAGCCCTAATTAGGAGTAGCAGTTGAAAACTCATTAGATGAAACACATGGCTACTTGTACAGCAAGCTACACCAGTAGCACACAATAGCATGTTGTAGCATTCAATCATACACAAATGGAGTTGGGTGCAATCTTGCCAGTTTGATTGCTTATATAGGATGTGTTGCTTGTGTAGCCTACTCTATAGGGAGTCATCTGATCCATCAGTTTAGCAATCAATTGCTACTGCTTGTGTGCTATTTTGGTGCTTCTAGTAGGAAGTAGAGCAGACTATAGACATTGCCTCCTTCACTTTTCCTGGATGCGAAAAATAATTCATACTAATAAAAAATGGAGTTCAATCCTAGAACAAAAAAAACTCTGAAGCAAGAGTCCATCACAGCCTACCTGGGCTCCTCCTTTTTCTATAACTAAAAAGAACCTCAACAATCTTCCAGTAAGATATGCAATTTACCTGTAAAAGACTCTTGTAGACGTCCAAAAGCTCTAAAAATGCTGTTGCTGGCCACCATCTTGGATCTGATATCTGCACCCCTGGCAGACCTAAAATTGTATTCCTTTACTCTTCCTTCAACTGCTACATAAAAAGTTATTGTAAGAAGAGTTGGAATTGAAGCACCACACCACTGTTAAGAGGTCCAGATAAAAACTTTATTCCATTAAAATACTAATGAATTAAAGTGTAACTAAAGGCAATTTTTTTTTTTAGTGAAGATGGATTAGAACACCTATTAGATTTTCATTGCTCTTTCTGTCCCCCTTCGGGAGATTCAACCTCTCCATTTGTCCTGTTTACCATTATCAAAAGTGAAAGTAAAAATCCCAAATTTTGTGCTGTCCCCAGAAAAAAAAAAAAAAGTTAGAGGGGAACTCTTCCAATGGGGAAACTAGTTCCTGGGGGTCCAAGGAATTCCCTTAATTTGCAGAGATTCTCTCACTTCCTGCTTTGGCTGTGGGACAGGAAGTGAAAGTAAATCTCCCCAATGGGACACAGATGGCAAAAAATAAACTGACAAGGATTATAACCCTTTATTACTCTATCCAAAATGAAAAAATAAAAAAAAAACCGTTTGTGCTATAAAACTCTACTTTAAAACTTATTTAAAAAGTGAATTTTATACCTTTTCATCTGCTTTTTTTTTTTTTTACAGAATTGTAGATCCCTTTGCAGACTCCTCCGGTTACTGGGTGACCGTGCAGTCTGTCTACCAATTGTTCTCCTAAAAAACTATTTAGCCCTAGTACCAATATATGAATGTGGCTGGACAAACTAATTTTTGACATGTAAAGTAGCTCAGATATACTGTACATACTTCATCAGTATCCAACTTTTTGCCTGGAGTTCAGCTTCAAGTTCCATGGTTCTCCCTGATGGGCAACAGGATGAACATTTGAAGCTAAAGCAATGTTTCTCAACCTTTTCTTCAATCAAGGCATCCTTTAACATTATGCACAATATCAATGCACCCCATTCCAAAATGTTAGTAGCTAAACTAATAGTTTTACATAACGCACAAACATCCACATACATAAGACACCCAAAGTTGAGTGGATTTATTCTTCCAAAGCAAACAAACCTTTTGTCACGTACCTGACTGGAGACTGAAATGACGAAGTTGGCCTCACTTGTGTCACTAGCCCTGACCCCACTGGAAGTGGAACAGAGGCTGTCTAGGGAGAAGGGGGACAAGAGCACCAGCAGGTGTTTGCAGCTCTTGCAGCTGGAGACTTTGGAAGACTGATGAACCTCCGATTCAGGCACAGTAGTAATATGCAGAGCTGGTATGGTAGGTCGCCAGGTGTGCACCAGAGCAAGGCAGGAAGCTGGGATGGGAGACAGGAGCAATGTCATAGGAATAGCCGGGGTCATCAATGGGCAGACAGCGAGGTACCAAATCATAAGCAAGCCAAAGTCAGGAGCAGAGCCGAAGTCAGGAACCAGTATAAAGCAGGAGAGTAATCAGAGTCAGGTCAGGAACAAGCCGGGTCAGCAACAAGGAAATCACACAGGAACGAGCAGGAAACGGGGAACAGCTGAAGACCAGTCAGCACTCAGCACAGGCAGAGGCACCTTTTACATAGACTGTCTGGCGCAAATCTTCACCGTGCATGTGCGCGATCGCGCATTTCTGTGTGCATGCGCACTTCTATTCACCAATCGTCTCACCGGGATTCCCTTACACCTTTGCACACTGGTACCGACTATAATTCTACAATATCCATTCTCCCCCGCACTTAGCTAATGGGACCCCAGTGCTGATGGAGAGGGGCAAACAAGAACAATGTGCAGGGGCCCAATGTCCTTCATATCAAATAAAAACATAATTGGTTGTTTGGATGGACACCAGTGGCTATAAGATTATAATGGTGCACAATGAAAACCATGAACTTTTGTAGTTAAAAAGGCAAGCTTGGTCCACCAGTTGGCTTGTATACAATTTTTGGGCAATGTTTAGGCATTTTGTCAAGGCACCCCTAAAGAAACGTGAAGGTACCCTGGTTGAAAAAGGCTGAGCTAGAGAGCCTAATGCATCTAGCAATCCAGTTAAGAAATCTTTTAAGTGAACGAATGATTCATGTTGCGTTTTAGAGTCTCAAAACTGCCTGAAACTTATTCAGATAACCAAATACAAAAAAAATAACATTTCCCCCTTCTCTTTACAGGGAATTTGTTGGAGTCACCGATGAGGAGTCTATTATGCGGGAAATCTCCCTGCTGGCAGAGCTTCTAGAGTCCCCTGAGCTGTGTTTGCAGGATACATTTATAGTAGCAGGATACACGAATCCCGCAGCTGCCAACAGGAGAAATGAGATCTGGTTCCTACAGAGGCCATGAGCCCTGGCAAGGTGACGTACACCTCAGACTCCAGTGGAGAACAAGACTCGGGACCCGTCACAGACTAGCACTGAATGTATGTGAAGGCATCAAGCAGTAACCCACATCAACCTGCAAACTTCATTCTACAATGACAGATTGGTTATAGTCTGTTAATATTACCTCTACCATTTAATTGTACTGGGGAGGGGGGGGGGGGGGGGGGGGGGGGGGGGGGGGGGTTAGGATGTTGTTTCATCATATCAATTTTAGCCACAAGCAATGACCATGAAGTATTCCACCGGCAACAACTTTATTTAGACCACCAAGGAAAACAAGCACAATCTGTATATTTTTCAATAAGAAAATGAATACAACATCCAGTACATTCTAGAGATAAATCCTTCACAAACCATGCAATTAAACTATGCTCATGAAAAATACAAAAGCTGAAATTAATTTCAGTGAAAACCATGTGTCAAGTAGATTCAGACCTATAAAATACTGCAGTTTTATGCAGAGCTTTGCATTCCCTTAAAAAGTCAAGCCTAGCTTGGCATACTTCTGACACACGAGTTGTCCTATTGGTCTTTTGATATAATGGGCAGTTTCACTGACCAATAATGGCAATGAGCTTAACAGGAAGTTGAGATTTGTATGCAACTTCAGCTGCTTTATCCTTTATAAAATGTTTTCACTGAAGGTAACCAATGCAATTTTCTTCTATGTGCCAGTTAAATCTCCTAGTTTTAATATAGGTTGACTTTAATGGAACAAAATGACTAACTAGTTATCGGTTTACAGATTTGTAGAGATTCTCGCAGGTCTTACTCTATATGGCCAAAAACACATGGACACCCCTCCAAATTATTGCGCTGGAATGCACAGAGACATGTCTATAGAAACATGATTTGATTAGTATGTATAGAGAAAGAAGAGTGACTGCACAGAGCACTGACCTCAATCCTACTAAACCCTTCTGAGATGAATAGGAAAGCCAAAAAATTGCAAGCCAGGTCTACTCGTCCCATTGGTCAACCCAATCTCAAAAATGCCCTTTAAAGTATAAATTCCTCCCAAAATGTTCTTAAACAAGCTGAGACCCCCAAGATGTTGTGGAAAGCTTTCTTAAATAAGTGATGGTTATAGCTTCAAAAAAGGAGGTGGGCAATCCATATTAATGCCCATAATTTTGGAATATAGGAGGTCCAGCAAGCTCATAAAGATGTGCTGGTCAGTTGTCCACAAACAGCCATATGACAAACAATATCAAGTTTGATGATGCTAGAACTAGATGGTGACGTTCTGCTGATACGGTTTCTAAGTTTTACAAAAAAAGTAATCATTGACAGACCTTTATTGTTGACAACACAGAATAAACAAAACTGTTTAAGTGGAAAATCCCTTTAAATACAGATTTAACAAGGGCAAAATGTGCTTTTTGTCAGCAGCAGACCTCACCTAAAAATAGAATCTGTAGGATTTAATCTAAGCTTTGTCTGTGCACAGGGGTTAAAAGAGGCTTAACCCAAAATAAGTAGACTTGGCTTATAAGTACCAAAAGCATAAAACAAATTAACTAATGTTGGAGGATCTTAAATAGGAGACTTTAGTAAGGAATGGTGCAGGATCTGAGGGACATCTGAATTTTGAATAAGATGAACAGTCATTGTGGCTGCTCCTAGACCCAGCCTCTACCCATTTGGGGACCTTGGGCAAAAGGAAGTGGCTGTAAAGCAACAGTCCATAAAACCACCTTGATGGGCACCTATTATTCAGTGTGGGAAGCTAGAACCGCGATGCCAATAGCAAAGAGATTCCCCTTTCATTTTTACATGAGGAACATTAAAAGGCCAAAAGTTATGGAACATGACTTAGAACCATTTCCTCCTTCCAAATCTGATACATAGGTTGGTTGGGGTTGTGTAGTAAAAACAGGTCTCAACTGTGGAGTTTTGCCACCCCCCCAAGCCACAAATGTAACAAGCCCTTCCTGTCCAGAGCCCCACATAAGGCTGCTGTCACACTGATGTGCCGTGGTTTACCACCACCGCAGGAGCAGTGCAGCGCACCTGTGGCTTTGCCATAGACTTCTATTATAGATTGAGAATGTGGTGCACTTGCTGAATGCGCACCAAAACACGCAGGATATAATAGAAGTGTTCTTCCCTGGTTTGAGGTCAAGGGCCACATCAGAGGGCTCCAGGGGCCACAGCCTGAGCACCTCTGCAATAAAATGTACCATTTAAATGGAGGTTAAATTTATGCAAAATGTTTTGTTTTTTTTTTTTAGTTAAACCTTCACAGATGTAAAATACATGAAGTGGGTGACGCCTATTAAGACAGAATTCAGGCAATGGTTAGTAGCTAGTGGCTTCTTCAGGGACTTTCAGGTTTTTGTGTTGTGCTGGTATAAACACTGCCAGCGACTAAAGGCATAAGCTGGTCATAAATGGATCGAAATTTGGCCGGTTCAGCAGGGACCGCACAATTTTCGACCCATGTATACGCAGGCTGCATGTACCAAAGTTGATCCATTGATCGACTTGGGTACACCCAGCATGTTTGGTTGTTCTACATGTGATTACTGACCATGGCTATAACTGCTAGCAGTAATTATGTTCTGCCAGCTGGGAAGGCTACCCACAACACCCCCCCCCCCCTCCCAGCAAAACACAATAGCGTTGCCGAAGGCATTCCCCCATCAACATTGACTGTGTTGATAGGAGAATCAAGCAATGTTTCTTTCTTCCCACCCTTGGTGGAAGGAAAGAAAATTGAATCATCTATGGGCTGCCTAAGTCACAGTCCATTTTTATTCAAAAGCTAATGTGGCCCTTCCTAGCATGTGCAAAGATGGCGGCTGTCATGGAAGCCCTAAAATTGCAGTGTCTACACTGAACTGCACAGAAATCCCCCTTCACATGCACAGATGTGCCCCAGGGCTCTACCAGGACCCAAAAGCTGGGCAGAGTCCTTCAGCATATGCAGCTCAGAAGATAACTGCCAATAAGTTAAGTTGATTTGTATCAGGGGATTAATATGTGTATAGTATAGTCCTAAAGCTATCCATAGGCTTAAGAGGGCAGTCATCTGTGCAGCCAACAAAGAACAGCAATAACTCATTGTCAGAGGATGCTGGAATAAGCTATAGAAAGATGGCAGCTAAGATGAATGAACACAAGAACAAACGTGCTCCTCAACTTAGTTTAAACATTGGTCCATCTGTTTGACAAAGTACTACATTTTGGGCAGCTACACTTTCATGACAATAGTTAGTACCTTCCCCTTCTCGTGAAATCTGGAAACACAGATGAAGTCTTTACATTTGGACAAATCTCATTTTCCTGCATGCCCAGTTCTGGTGCAGTTCATGTTCTATGAAAGCCCACCTACCTCTTAAATCCTATGGGGCCATAGAGAATGAAGACTGCCTGGGCACATGCATTGTGGTAAAGCCAGAGGAAGCCAATAGTTTCTAGATGGACAAGGAACTTGAGCAATTATTTTAAAAAGACACCAGAACACTAGGAGATAGGCACCAAGAGGTCTACGTTGTTTGCATCTTAAAACAATACAATTTACCAATGTAGTTTGGGTCTCACATCATGACAGCAAAGTGTTATACTTAAAGCCTACTCCCATCACCCTACACTTACAAAAAAATGGATGAGACGCATCTACACTGAAATGAGGGTACACTACAAGCCACTGCCTCATTTATAAGATGTTAATAAAAAAACATTTGTGCTAAATAAGTATATTTTAGTATCTGTGTCTAATGGAATATTTGACTAAATCTGTGGCTATTGCTTTATTCCAGAACAAGATGATTGTCGTGCTTCAGCTAGAATGATTCTTTGTACTGTGAGAGTTTAATACGTTTCTGCAAACCAAATGATTTGTGATAAACACTTTAATATTCCATAAACTTGACTTTAAAGCCAACACTGGTTGTTTTCTGTAAAATATGAATGATTTATTATGTGGTCCTTACCATGGGAAAACTGGACTTCAGACAACTTCTTACCCCCACCAAGGAATTCCCATTACTGTCTTCCTATTCAGGAGCTGCGGTTTGTTCAAGTGGTCCTGAACTCATAAAGTGTAGATTTTCTATGTTATATACAATACATCTAGAAATGTTACAGAATTCCAGGCATATGTTATAGATATGTTATTCATAGTTACATTGCTTCAAGCTGGATCAATGTAACTACAGTATGTATTAGTATATCACATACCAGGTCAAAGTCCAGGAAGCTGGAAATCACTGAAGTAGACACAGCTACTCCCATGATCTCCACTTACTTCTGGGTCTTGTGCTAAGCGGCTGTAGCTGCTGACTTTTAATATAAGGAGACTTCGCTATCCACTATCCTCCGGCATAGCAAGTAAGGGAAACAAAGTGAAGTGTTGCACCTTGTGATTGGTCCCATAGTCTTCTGGGACCTATAAAAAGTGTCCCAGAAGACTACAGGGCAGGAAGAAGGGGGGCCGAACTTACAGCTCAGTTCGCTGAAGGAAACTGAGCCAGAAGTGGGAGAGGGTACCTGGTTTTGATTGCTCCCCCAAAAGTTAACAAATGTAGCAGTAGAGCGGGGGCAGGGAGCTTCTGCTTTTGGGTGGAGCTCTGCTTTAAAGTGATAGCAAAGCTGGAGTTAGGCTCTAAAACTTAAAGCAGAACTTTCCCCATAACAACTTGATAAAAAAAGAATGTTCTTTAGCAAGGAAGATACATTCCACATAGTTATGCTACCAAAATTAGCGTATAATGTAAGCTGCATCTAGCGTTGCTCCTGTTTCTTCTTGCTGGAGACTCCCATTTTGCTGAAGCCCAGAGCCCCTGAACAGCAATAAAATCAAACTGGAACGATACCCATCATTTTCAAAAAACAGATACAATCCTAGATTGCTGGGATTGCCAACTGTCACATTTGCTTGTGTCTCAACCAAACTGTCAAACCATCAAATGGCTGGAGTAAGAACTGATCACATGCGCAGCACAATGGCAGTTGTAG